GAGTGAACTAACTCCTTCAGTCAATCAGAAATTGTATAGTAGGAGTTCTGTGCTGTTGCTAAACCCATTTGATATTGTTTTCTGTTACTTCTGGGTATAAACTGCTCTCCCATACTCTACTGAAAGGATAAGTGAGGTAATCTAATTTTGTGTTCTGTTGATGTAAAGTGGTTTTTGATGTTGTTTAGCATTAAATCTACTTGAGTATTTTTTCCTGCCTTCCATGATGCATCTTGTGGTAGGAGTTCTGTGCTGTTGCTAAACCCATTTGATATTGTTTTCTGTTACTTCTGGGTATAAACTGCTCTCCCATACTCTACTGAAAGGATAAGTGAGGTAATCTAATTTTGTGTTCTGTTGATGTAAAGTGGTTTTTGATGTTGTTTAGCATTAAATCTACTTGAGTATTTTTTCCTGCCTTCCATGATGCATCTTGTGGGCAGATTTGTCTCTGAGCTGAGACAGTGGAGATTCAAGGTGTTAGGTTAGGAATAATGTTTTCCCTGTTAGGGTGTTCAGGCACTGGAATAGATTGCCCAGGGAGGTGGTGGAGTCACCATCCCTGGAAGTGTTGAGGAGACATCTGGATCTGACACTAGAGGATCTGGTTTAGGGTTTAGGGGTTCCAGCAGTGACAGGTTAATGGTTGGACTCGATGGTCTTTGAGATTTCCTCCAACCTTGATGATTCTATAAGATCCTCTATAACAAGTAGAAAGTTTCCATTCCATGTCTTTTCAAAAACAAAAGTTTTCTACCTTTCTTACAAAATGCTTTTCCAATTTGTTCTCTGAAGAACTGTTAAGGATTTTCAGGAGAAAAACAATGGTTTGCACTCTGTCTGGTGATGGCATCATATTTATCAATTAAAGTTGTTTTTCTTACTGTATTTGCTGACACAAAACAGGAATATTTCTGGTTTTAATTTTCTAGATCCCTCAGCTGATGAATTAAGACGGCTAATGATGTTACATGGAGGCCAATACCATGTGTACTACTCCAGATCAAAAACAACTCACATCATTGCCACCAATCTGCCAAATGCCAAAATAAAAGAATTGAAAGGAGAAAAGGTAGTTCGGCCGGAGTGGATCATGGAAAGGTAAGTTTAGCTCTGCTGCATGTGGAGATTTCTCCTTTTGAGGGCTGTGGTTGGGGAGAAAAAGAAGAAGAATCTGGAAAAACAGCATTATAGAAGATTGCATTTTGAGATTATGGTTTATCTTGAAATAAATCTGTCCTTGCAACAGCTGAGGAAAAATACCACTGATAAATTGAAGATTTATTTCTTGGGGATTGTTCCTTAAGAGACTTCGCTAAGAACATTCAGAAAGTCTCAAGCCTATCAGGCAATTAATAGCTGACCAGTTGATCAGCTTTCATCTCAGGATGTTAAATAAGTACTTGGTGATTGGTTTTGATCCTCTTGCCCTGTGCATTGCATAAGTTTCATCTGTAAATAAAGAAGAATGTCAATTGAAAAGCACTTTCATAAAATTGAAATTAATACATCCAAACATGTATTATGTTGAGACTTTGCAACAAAAGAAAACCTAAGTGAAAATTATTCCTCATATTTTATTTACAAAGAATTTATGTCCTTTGGTTCTTCCATGCACTGGATCAACTGCACTTGTCCTTAGGTCCTTGAAAAACATGATAGCCAAGCTCAGAGCAGTAAAGGTGGCATGCATCTGTCTCCTTCACTCTGAGGAACCCAAGGGAAACAGAACAGGCAGAAATATGTTCTGGAAATGATTATGTCAGTGTCATGCTATTCTTGACTAGCCTTTTTCCTAGATGACCAGCAGAGCATGCAAGGAACTGTTCTGCATATGTACGAGGGAAATCTTATGTGCAGTTCCTGTTTTCAGTTTGCTGTTTTTTTTGGTCCTTTGGATTCAGCTATTTCATATCATGTATCTTTAAGGTAAATTTTTGAAACTTCAGTCAGAAATGATAAGTTTCTCAGTTTGAGAGAGACCGTAGGTACCTTTTTTAAACAGTTTTAGGGCCTCACCCGTGAGATTACAGACATGGAAAACTGATGGTTGGTGTGGTTTCATTTGAAATATGTGGCTCTTTCCATTGGTGCCATGAGAGATTGTTATGATTTTAACCAAGTTGGAAAAATCAGTTTGTGTATGTTCAGTAGAGACTTGCTAGAACCTAACATGTGCAATCTCCTGAAAGTTTCCTTATGATGTTTCCTTATGAAACTTAGGAATGTTTCCTTAAGATTTCCTTATGAGGAGAGGCTGAGGGAGCTGGGGGTGTTCAGCCTGGAGAAGAGGAGGTTCAGGGGAGACCTTCTCACCCTCTGCAACTCCCTGACAGGAGGTTGGAGTCAGGTGGGGGTTGGTCTCTTCTCCCAGGCAACCAGCAGCAGGACAAGAGGGCACAGACTCAAGCTCTGCCAGGGGAGGGTTAGGTTGGCTATTAGGAAGAGATTTTTGACAGAGAGAGTGCTCAGGCATTGGAATGTGCTGCCCGGGGAGGTGGTGGATTCCCCATCCCTGGAGGTTTTCAAGCCGAGACTGGATGTGGCACTTGGTGCCATGGGCTAGTGATCATGGTAGGGTTGGACTGGATGATCCTTGAGGCCTCCTCCGATCTGGTTGATTCTGTGATTCTATGATTTTATGTCTTGTATTCAGGTTCTGCATCTCCTGGTTCTGGAAGGCTGTACTGTAGAGTAAGTCAGAAGATCTGAGCATGGACAGACACATGGGGTTGGGCACAGGAGACAGGGAACTCACTCAGTAGAGCAGGGTTTAGCATCTGGAACAGAAGCGAATTTCACAACCTTTTTCTTTTTTTTTCCCTTCTTAACAGTATTAAAGCACACTCAGTGGTTAAATAAGCCATCTCTGCATATGGAATACCAAATTATGTTCTCCCCAATATACTACACTGACTTCCCCAGCTGGTGGAAGTCAGTGTAGTGGATGTAAAGGGTCCGAATTTCATGGAATGGTTTGGGTTGGAAGAGACCTTAAAATTCTTCTAGTTCCAACTCCCAACCTGTGGGCTAGGGCACCTTCCACTAGACCAGGTTGCTCAAAGCCCCATCCAGCTTGGCCTTGAACATTTCCATGGGTGGAACATTCACAGCTTCTCTGGGCAACCTGTTCCAGTGCCCCACCACCCTCACAGTGGAGAATTTCTTCCTCATACATACTGAAACCTACTTTCTTTCAGCTTAAAGCCATTCCCCCTTGTCCTGTCACTACATGCCCTTGTAAAAAGTCCCTCTCCAGCTCTCCTGTGGGCAATAGGATGGATTTGGGTTTCTTTAGTTTGGTTGAGAATCAACCTTACAATGCTCCTGTCCCGAATTGCTGGTAAAGCAGTGTTGTTAGATCTTCAGTCTTACTCATCCAAGGTTGCAAAATGAAAAAAATATTTGTCTGTGGAGCTTTGATTTATTTCTTATGTGGACACGTTATGATTTAGTCCTTAATTACATGATCACACACCATCTTTTTTCACTGTGCTACCTGCTACATTGTCTGCACAGAAGATTGAGTTCAGGTTGCAAATTGCTAATACAGTGACTTGGGTTTTGCTTCTTGTCTCTGTAACCCTGTTCCTTCCTTACTGCATGTGACTTGAATTCTCTGCTGATAATGGAATGAATAATTAATTCCTGTCTTTTATTGGTGCTTATCACTATAGTATCTGTCTGCTTTGCAAAGATTAATGAACTTGCCACAGCATGTATTACAATGGCTATTTTCAGTTTTTATTTGAGAGCCACCAGAAAGGCATTAAGGTAAAACACCAAAAATGTTTATTGTTTGGAATATGCTGTGGGAGCTGTTTAAGATAAGATTCTTCAGAGCTACTGAAGTTGAAGTTTATTGCTGCAGTAAAAGCTTGGCAAATTCTGAACTCTGGTCTAAAGTCACTCTCATAAACCTGTTGTTAAATGCAGGTAGCTGTAGAATTTTGGTTTAATTAGCATCACACAAAGGTCCTGTGGTAACAGCAGTTGCAAGATCCAGTATTGCAGGGTAGTGGTAGCTTTAGTGGCAGAATCATTCTTTCTGCACTCCCGTTGTCCTTTGGTTTTGCTACCTCTCCATTTTTGCATCAAATGTGCAACAATTGCAGACAGGATTACAGGCAGAGCTCCTTTCTGAATCTCTTCCTTTGTTTGAAAAAATGCACCAGGCAATGACGTACCTTGGAAAGGCTATTGTACAGTGAAAGCCAAATTAAGGTGATCTTAAAGCTTGACTTTGAAATTTGTTCTTTTGACAAACATTCTTTGACATTTATCATAAAATCCCTTTTCAGAGACTGAGGGTAACTAACTATTAAAATGAGCTGCCAGTAGAATTTCTGGGTTCCTTATTTTGATTTTCAAATTGAATTAATATTTTTCTTGAAGAACTTTGTTAATCTAACAAAAATGTGAAGAAAATAGTTTAAAATAATTTCCCCAGAAAAAATACTAGTCTGGTACACAAGACCCTACCTGGAATTCTGTGTGCAATTCTGGTGTCCTCAACATAAGAAGGACATGGAACTATTGGAGCAAGTCCAGAGGAGACCACAAGGTTGCTAAGAGGACTGGAGCATCTCCACTACGAGGACAGGCTACGAAAGCTGGGACTGTTCAGCCTGGAGAAGAGAAGACTGTGTGGAGACCTCAGAG